TGAGAATGTTCTAATTAATATTTCTCTGTGAATCTAGGTACAGGTGTCACTAATGTGTTGACGATTTATATTTTCTTCTAAGCTTTCGTGTAATTCATGTACATCTATAATGTACTCAATGTATTTGCTGATACAAATACCGATCTTTGCCACTAATAAACACACGCTTATACAGTTCATATAATATACGTCCAAACTTATACATTTAGTTTGTGTATTTAACAAATACATCACGAAATAAATTACCAAATCTTTTCACAGTGGTTTCCCAATAACAAAGGCCTCGTGACAGGGATAGTGGTTTCAGGGTTAGCTTTAACACCTCTATTTATGAATAGTGTACAGATACTCTTTGTGAACCCTGGTAATCTCCAACCTACTTCTGATGGGTAAGTTACAAGTTTCTGTAAGCGTACGTGATGCTTTTTGAAGTAAAACATAGACTACTAGTTTTAATATTATTTTATTTTATCTTCAATAAATCCTCAAAAAGGCGCTTATTTTTTCTTTTAGGTATTATTCTTTCATTATATAGGTCACAAATATTTAGAATATCTCGAAAGAAAAAATAATAATCTAGATTTTATTATCCTATATAACCCAAGGGATCCTGTACATCGTTGTTTGAAATGAGTGTTACAAGAAATAAAACATTTATATTACTTAAGTTAAAGTCCAAAGAAAGCAACACTAAAAAGGCTAAAGTCATGTTTACGAATAAATAAAATTTTAGGTTTTAGTTTGTTTTTTTCATGGAAATATTTCCTAATCTAAATTGTGTAAAATAGTTTTATAAGGTTATGTGTCATACACATTGTTGTTTTATTAAATACATGGGATTTGGAAATAGCTATTTCTTTGTGCTGATTTCATTGTTTGTAGTTAAACACAAAGCTACAGAATGGACTATCTGTCTTGTGCCCTCTACGTTTACCCAAACCCGATTTCTAGCCTTATACTTCCGTAGAGTTACAGAAGTTATTTAGGGGGGTGTAAAGTTATTCAACGTCATCAATGTAGTATTAAATTATTTCATAAACCAACTTAATTTTTCATTAACGAGTAAACTTTCAATATTTTTTTCAGGCTTTTTTACAATGATGAAATTACAGAAAGTGTTCCTGTTTTGTTTCTGATAATGCCAAGTGTTACTGGTGGTATTCTACTGATTGGGCCGCTTATGTACAAAGAATTACCACGAGAGTCAAATCGGGTTAGAGGAATTTGATTAAATAGTTTATTTATGGTATTTTAGGCTACAAAATAAATTCGCTTCATATAATTTGAATAAGTCCGTTTTATTGGATAATGCTAATTTTCGTTAAAGCGAGCTGGGATAATTTTAGTTTGAGTAATAAGATGTGTGTGGACATATGCTGAATTTAAATTCAACAAATTTAACAAATAATACAGTTAAAACCACAAATAATGCATCTCTGGATATATATCTTCAAAACTTGATCTTAAAAGTTCTATCGGTTGAATAATATTTCTTTATCTGATAATCAGGTTGTCGTTTAGACATCTTGTTACTTTTGTTAGATTCTAAAAAGTTTCAACTTCGACATTACTTTTAGATTCACACGTTCCATTTTCTTATATATTGTACTTTATTCCAATCGAACCTATTATTCTACCAAGATTAAAAAAACTACTGATCCAATCTGATGTTATAATATTGTGTATTGTATTGTAAAAACTACAAAATTCTATCTTTCATGTTCCCTATAAAATCTAAATTTTACTTTTAAACAAACGTTATTGTGGAAAACATGTTTAATGCTTTGGCCAAACATCTTCATAACAACAGTTCATCGTTTCTGTGCTTGATGTAGGTTTATTTATTTTGTTTATTAAATTTGTAACGTTCTTAAGAAACAGGGAGATTAAAATTTTTATATTTTTAAAGCTCAAATAATAAAAAATATAACAGTATTTCTACTATTCACCATATTTGTCATCTCCACCTCAGTTCTTCAATATTTTAGTGCCTTTGTATCCACCAGTAGATGGCGCAATATTCACTTATGATAACTTCAGATCAACATCATTGTACATCTTTAACAAGAATGAAAATATCATCTACTTATCTTTTATAATATATTGGTATAAACGAAGAAGAACATTCATCAAGTCAGCTGTGAAAGGAATAACTTAGTGAGTGATAAACTTTATCCTGTAATGGTAACATTTTCTTGCCTGCACAAAGTATTATAAAATTTGGAATGATGTTCCTGGGTAGAAAATTCGTGAGTGTCTTAAAAACAATGCTTATGGAATATAATTCTATTATTTTTGTATTCTGGTATAAAAGGTATGTGTACAAGTGTATAGTTTCATCTAAGAGGATGTTTTTATAGAGACACTCTGTATCAAAACTAGCCGAATAAGCTGTTAATATTCAGATCTTGTGTATATTGAGAAAGTCGACTCTGTCTTCGATGTGGTATTCATTTTTGTTTTATGGTTTCAAACACATAATTATTATACCATTAAACCAATGTTTATGTGTTTCAATATTATATATTATTGTTTACACCGAACATGTCTCATTTAAAACACTTTCACATAATCGTAATATTTTCTTACAAAATTCGATTTATCGTGTATTTTTCATTTTTCATCCATTTTCTGGTTAGATATAATTAACGTGTTAAAGGAACCGTTTTAAGAATAACATAATAAAACAGAAGTATAGAATTTAAAATCTATAGAATATATAGATATCACGTGTTTTAACCTGATGAAATGCTTTAGTTTACTTTCAGGTTTAATTTAACTGAACGTAATTTATGATGCTTCTTTTATTGTAAGCTACCTTTCCTGATTTTAGTTTGGTTTATGTATACGGACGTAGATGTCTGTATATACAAAGCGGTAACTAGAGAGTTTTTACGTCTTGACCAGGAATAGTACTTATATAAGTGATAATTTTATTTAATGACAATAATTATCTAAAATACTCTTGTAAAGTTTGTGTTATCTTTTTCTCTTTATGTATTAATCCGGTAAAAGAACTGTTCTAGGAGTGGTATCGTAAACTGGAAATATAAAATTTAGTGAATTTTTAAAGTAATGAAATTATAAAGAAATGTATTACCTTCTGATATAGTAATTATCTGTTTAGCCAGATCTGTTAATTCTTCCACAGAAGACGACAGAGAATCGACAATTCCTTCCATTATTTGCTTAGTTACTGTTCTACGTTTTAATTAAAATAAATTTAAAATGTTATTTCAAAATAGCAATAATCTATATACATATATAATGTATAATAATCGAAATTTGAATGTATTTTACAAAATACTAGTCTACTAAAACACAGCCAAGATAAGTTACTTTGCACAGACCAAAGGTTATTTTTATGTAATTTGATACGGTAACATGAGTGCACGTGAGCCGCGTCATTGTAACTCCTGTATTGTTAGCCAGACACGGCTGGAAGGTCAATATAATAAATATATATAAATGTAATGGTATGAGATTTAAGCTATTTAGTCTAAACATTTATGTTTTCGTGTTATAATTTGTGTTCATCCTAGAATGAAAAAGGCATAATTTGTATTTATTTCCTAATTTTTTATGTTGGTTGCGAGATCGGTCAAATCTACCGAACCCGTACAGAGATTAATTACTGAACATATAAAGTTTTTTCTTTAGAAACGTTTGATATCTATCTCGACATTATAGAGATTTCGCATGGGAAGTTTCGAAATTTTCTGACGCATAAAAGTATTTTTAATCTTAAAACAAATATTACTTTTCATGATAGATAGACAACATGTCAAAAGAAAAAATAGACATGAGAAAAACATTGCTTTTTAAACCTTAAGACTTAAGAAAAAAATTGATAATTTGCGTATGAAAGCATTAAAATGTTTACTGATAATCTACCAAATTTCGTTAAGGTTAGGTACTAATCTAAAAGTTATAGCAAGAAAACTATAGCAAGCACAGAATGGTTACAAAGTCATCACATTAACTGACCCCGTGTTGAAAGAGTTAAAAACATTCCCATCATTGACTTTGATTGAATCAAGTAGAATTCAAAGTTAATCAAATATAAATATTATCAATAGATGTATACGTCTATAAAGACAAGAGCTCCTTTGTTGTACTATAGAAGTGAACATGAAAAGTCACGTATCAGCCAGATCCATGCTTTCAACAACTTCTGATCATGAGATATAGTGACGTCATAAAAATTCACTTCAGATATCATGTTTCCTCTGTACGACGGTTATAAAATCCTTGGTACTTACTGTAATCCTCAGAGGAGAATACAGCTCAGTATACGTGTCTATCCTGTACATCATGTATCATGTAGTTCACTTATTTTGTATTTTGTCTCTTCTTGTTAACCCAGGCTAATGTTCATCACCACACTGCTTCTCATACTGTTGGTTCAATGGAAGGATTATCGATTCTGTGTCGTCTACTGTGGA